GAAGTCCTGCCTGGTGTGTCTGGCCTGTGAGACTCATCTGGAGCCTCATCAGAGAATCCCAGGCTTGAAGAGACATACACTGATAGATCCTGTGAAGAACCTGGAAGGCAGGATGTGTAAGAAGCATGATAGACCTCTGGAGTTGTTCTGTAAAACTGACCAGCTGTGTGTGTGTCAGGTGTGCATTGGGACAGATCACAAGATACATCATATTGTTCCTCTTGAAGCGGAATATGAAAGAAAGAAGGCTGAGCTCGGAGACTCAGACGCTGAAGTTCAGCAGATGATCCAGGAGAGACGACTAAAGATTGAGCAGATCGAACAGTCAGTGAAGCTCAGCAAGGAAGATGCAGAGAAAGTGACAGCAGCCAGTGTGCAGGTCTTTACTGCTCTGATTGTGTCTGTTAAGAAAGGCTTGGATCAGCTCATCGAGATGATTGACCAGAAACCGAAAACAACAGAAAAAAGGGCTAAAGGCTACATCAAAGAGCTAGAAATGGAGATCTCTGAGCTGATGAAGAGAAGCACAGAGCTGAAGCAGCTCTCCTGTACTGAAGACCCCCTCCAGCTCCTCCAAAGCTTCCCATCTTTGAACCCTGCTCCACACACCAAGGACTGGAAAACAATCAAAGTCTACTTTGAGTGAGGGGACTATGTGGACAGCTGTGGCTCAGCTGGAGGAGACACTCAGTAAAGAGATGAAGAAGCTGTGTGCTGGTGCTGAACTAAGGAGGGTTCAGCAGTACACAGTGGATGTGACTCTTGATCCTGATACTGCAAATCCCAATCTCATCCTGTCTGCTGATGGGAAAAGAGTGAATTGTGGTGATGTTAAGAAGAGTCTCCCAGACAACCCAGAGAGAATGTCCTCTTGTGCAGTCTTAGGAAAGCAGAGTTTCTCTTCAGGAAGATTTTATTATGAGGTTCAGGTTAAAGGGAAGACTAAGTGGGATTTAGGAGTGGCCGGAGAGTCGGTCAACAGAAAGGGAGAAAACACACTGTGCCCTGAGAATGGGTACTGGGCTATATGGTTAAGAAATGGAAATGAATACAGAGCTCTTGCTGGTCCTTCTATCCGTCTCTCTCTGAAGTCGAAGCCTCAGAAGGTGGGGGTGTATGTTGATTATGAGGTGGGTCTGGTCTTCTTTTATGACGTAGATGCTGCAGATCTTATCTTCTCCTTTACTGGCTGTAAGTTCACTGAGAAACTCTATCCGTACTTCAGTCCCTGCCCCAATGATGGTGGGAAAAACTCCCTTCCTCTGATCATCTCTAGCGTCTGTCGTACACCTTAGACTAATCATCAGATTGGCTTGGAATTCTCTCTTAAATTTACACACATAGACAATAAAAAATTAAAACTCTAGTCATCAATATTTTGTATATAGGCAATGACTATGTGTAATGTTAAAAATTGCCCCCAACTGAAGCTCTACAAAGCTTTTTAGCCTCATTTAGCAAGCAGCAGCAGGCAGCTGTTTTCAGCTACATAGCTCTGATAAAGGCAGTATATGCTACCACAAATGGACAGATAAAGTTGGATTCTTTGTCCCTCTCTTTGATAGCAATTTCCTGGTGTCAATCTTGATACTTTTTAACGTTACAAGCCCACTTGCAGGCTGGACCACCTGCTTTGGGGTGGAGAATTCGAAAGGAGGCTCTATTGTCATAAATGGAATATAATATTCATTTTCATTAGTGTATAATACCTGAAAATAAGACTCCTGTTTTTGTTACTTTAGAATGAGCCGTTTATATCCACAAGCGTTCCATGGTGGCTGCCATGTTGAGCCGCTATGTTTCTACTGTAGCCGAGAAGGGAGAAACCCAACACTGGCCACTGTAGTTTCTCCTGTGCTTGGAAAGGGAGGGTGAAGCGAGTGAGTTGCAATCTGCAACTACGACGGCAGATGCCATTAAATGCCACACACTGGTCCTTTAATTGGGATTTGCAAGTCCACTAGCCTTTGACTTCTACAGTGTAGATAAAACCTACATGGGTTAATTAAAAAACTGACCTGTAATAGCGGTCTGCAAAAAGCGTCAATGAAAGTAACTTTAGTGGTATTATAATCTGAGATTTATATAAATGTTGGAATAACAATTTTAGAGAGCAGTGTGAAAATTCAGTTCTGAAAAAGTATTGTGTGTTTCTGACTTAGTGATAAGAGTATGTTGGTTTAAATATGGTTGAATGACATAACAGTTCCTAAACGTTAATTTCTAATCAATCAACTATTTAATGCAGAAAATAAAAAATGATGTTTATCAATTTGGGTAAACTGTCAGGAATTGAGCTGGATGGTAAACCATCTCTCTACCTTTTATTATCTAATTTCCTCCTTCCTTCCCACCTATCTTTTATACAACTTTCTTTTCTCTCCATCCCTTGGTCCCTCCCTCCCCCCTTTTCTCCCTTCTACCTCGCCCCTCCTTTCTTGCTTAATTCCTTCTGTTTGATTCCTATGTCATTTTTCTTCCTTGCCAATCACTTTCTTTCCCTCCTGTCTTCCCCTTACCTTTCTCTCCTCACAGGTTTTTCCACCATCCCTCCTTTCTCTCCCTCCCTAGCAGGACCAGGGTGTTGATGCTAAGCAGCGGAGCAACGTAGGAAAGGGACAGAGTGGGGATTGATATCAGATGTTTTGTTGTTATCTGAGATGGACAGGAAGGACTGTTCTGCTCTATCAACCTTCGTCAATGTCCTTGGCTGAGAAAATGACACTGGGGGACGCCTGGCCAATGATTCATGCTGCAGTCTGGATAGATTTGGGCCGCTAGAGCTCACTTGGACATCACTTTCAAAGACTTTCTAGCTGCAGTTTGGTGACATTCAAAAACAGTGATCGGTGTTATTCATGTGTTTTATTAAATGCTGAGTGTAAAGTTCTACTGGCAGAAATGAAATATAATATTTATAGGTGTATTTTAATTTGTGTATTATCACATGAATGTAGGAATTGTGTTTTCGTTACCTTAGAATCAGCTGTTTTTATCTACAAACGCGAGTGGTGTTCAGTTAGTTGTAATCTGCAACTTCAGTGCTAGATACCTCTAAATCCTACACACTGGTGCTTTGAATGCAGGGTGTGATGATTTCAGAAGTTGATTTCTTATCAGGAACATTTTTAAGTGCTGTTTTATGTTTTCACATTTGCAATTGTAATGCCACAAATATGTAACAGGCCCAGTGTCATGTATCTTGAAATAATCTGTGTTCTAATCTACTTTCTAATCTTTTGTACTGACTCATAATGGATAAAGTGGTACTACATTAAAAAAGTATGGGAAATACTGATGAGAACACAAGCCCTAAATCCCTTTCTTACCTTTATATTTGGCAGCAGCACATTCTCAGGCTTCTGCCTCTTGTTACTGGAACAGCTGGGGGTTAGGTGCATTGCTCAATGGCACTATAATAACTGCTGAAGGCCTGATCCATGGATATGAAACTGCAGCAGACCAGCCTCAACCCTCTGTAACCTCCAGGCTTCCTAGGAAGTGTCAGATTATTAGAAAATATGGTGAACCTGATGTACGGGATCACAGCCGGATGCAGTTGTGTGTGTGTGTGTGTGTGTGTGTGGTTCAGGAAATCACAATGAGAGGTCTAATCAGCTCTAACCAAATGGTGCCACGCTGAAACAAGACTCTCTATCTCCCTCTAATGGTGGCTGTGCTGTTTTACAGTGAACCAAATGTTTTCAAACAATGAAGAATATTGCAAAGGATCACTTTTGGTTGTTTTATCCCTTTAAATGTCAACCACTTTGGATAATAAAGGTTCATTTAAGAAGGCAAATGAAACTATAACCATTATTTCATTTGGTGATTTAAATATTTGAATAACACTAGCTTATTAGAGCCAATACCTAATTAATGAGGCCGATGTACATGCATTTTCATGCTCATATTACATGAATGTATTATTCATCTTTTATCCCTTTCTATTCTTTTTCAAATTTAAATTAGCATTAACTGGCTGCTTCAAGGCCTTCCCGTTGCTGAAAAGGAATATTTTGTTAACTTTCGACCATCTGCATTTGCATCTAAAGAGAGAATTAAAATCAAAGATAAAAATAAAGAAGTTATCCTTTAACTGGAAGATGAAAATGTTTATTTGATAAGATGGCAACCAAGCAGCAATTCCAAACAAGCGTAAATAAATTTTTTTTAAATCTGTACAATCTTAAACCAATCCCCTTTGTCCTATTTCTCTCACATACAATGTGACTTCTATCCATTTGTCAGTGCTGTTTCAATTTACTTTAATTTTATCTTGCTTGCTATTCCTTTATTTTCCCCCCCATTTGTTTTTTTTTTTCTGACGTTATTTTGATTATTTTCTGTCTAGCCCAGTCTTGGCCAGGATTTGGAGTGTTTAGTGCTCAGAGTGACGGGTTTCTATCCTTGTTTTGACGTCACCTACACGTTTTACCCATTTGCATAATGATCCTTGTTTATGTTTTGGTCTAGATTCTTGCATGTTTTCAAATTTTAATGGACACTATTTAAGAGAAGATAATCCACGCAGTAATGTCACCACCCCCTTATAAAATATCAGTAAATACAGAATGAATACGAAATCTCATATACAGATGCTTTGGACTGTTATGTGCATCTTCACACCAAACACAAACAGAACACCCCTGGATGTCATTTGTTTTTATTCTCTGTTATGTTACATGTGACCATAAACTTCCAGGAAGTTATAGTTGCCATGGAGATACAGTAAATATATTCAGGTACTCAGATAGGCAAAAGGGTAGGTATGTGTGTGGGGGGGTG